TAGGAGAAAATTCCAACCATCCATCCATATTTCTGTTACTTACTGCGAATTTATATTAGACCTGGCTTGTTAAATGTAAGCGGCAGCCATTTTTTAAAGTTGTGCATTTCACGGGAGGAAAATAATTGTGTTTGATTCAGAGGGATATCATTTGGAATTGTTAGTCATACACCTTTTTAAAAGAAAGAAAACATATTTGAGGATTGAAACAGACAAAAAATAAGTGTTGACAGATGTGAAAACATGAAAAAAGCAGCTATGAAAATGGAAGACTTGGAACTTGCTCGGAATGCTGGGTGGTTTACTTGTTCTACGAGCTGTAGCTGTCATTGCTTTTCAATTTTTCATAAAGCATACGGCAGTTATTTCTCGTAGGATACTTTAATATGCCCAAATGTCATCAAGAGCAGTTTGCATGTGGAGGAATGTATTTTTCAGACTGTAAAAATGAAACAAAAAATTTAGAGACGAAATTTGGTGATTGGAATTTGAATGAATAGAAGTAAGTTTTCTTCTTTTTATTACTTTTGACGTTTAAGGTATTTATCAATTTCAGCTTTGCTTTTTCTTTAAACAGCCTGACATTGTCAGAATCGTCAGCAAAAATAAAATTGAGGTACCACATGGGGAAAATCTTAAAAAAGTAGTTTCGTCATTGAAAAAAGTGAAATTATATTTTGATAATTTTCACTGTGAAATTACCAAATATAATTTTCACGGATAAATCAGTAATCCACTGAAAAGCATAAAATAAAGGATTTTAATTTTTCTTTCACATATTCAATAACCATAGATATATGGTGTGCCAAGAATAAGACTCAGGTTTCTACAACTAAGGTCAAGGTCACTGTGGGGGTTCAAACTTTGTCAATTTTGATGTGTCTGCTCTAAAACAAATATGAATAAAAGGATTATATTTTTTTATTTCGCATATGAAATTATCATAAATGTATGATGTGTTTGCGCTTAAGACCCGTGTTCCTACGCCTTAGTTCAAGGTCACTGCTGGGGTTTAAACTTTTTCAATATTTATGTTATATACATATAAATGGTGGTTATTGTGTCCGCTCTGTAACTTCCATACATGAAAGTTTCAATTTTTAAAAAAAAATTAAGTCACCATAAATGGACAATGTGTTGTGAACTTAACCCAGGTTTCTTTGTCTAACTTAAAGGTCACTGCTGGGGTTCGAACTATGTCAATTTTTACCACCACACTTAACATGTAATAGGTGGTTTATAACTAGAATCCTTTGAGGCATTTGTCACGTTCTGTGACAGCTCTTGTTTATATTTTATTTTTGTACATGTATATTGATATTTTTTGTACTTCAAAAAATGTTTCTTAACACTTATATCAGGTGCGAATAGATTTATAACTCTAGCTGTATTTCTAGAATTATCTCCATTTCATTTTTGAACTTGGGATTTAGTGAAAATTCATTTATTTCAAAGGATAATCTTTGTTATTAGAAATGATATCTACTCTAGACTTAAAATAATTGTTCTTTGTCATTATTACTTACATCATGCATGACAAGGTTCATAACTCTAGCATCTTTATTTCAAGATATATTTTATCTTTGAACTTATAACTTTACTATAATTTAAAGGTCATCAATGTTTTACTATTTTCTGCTTTAATGCAATTGGTATAGTTAAAGTGATTTAGTATTTTGTACGGAAGTCAAAATACTACTTTGTTTACATTTTGCTACCTTTTTTACATTTTTTTTTTCACATTCAGAGATTTTTTTTCTACCAAATTGGATGAAAGTAATTTACATTAGTATTTTTGTTGTGATCACAGGGACTCGGCACAGTGTTGGGGTAGTGTAAAAAGCAATTTTAGAAAAAAATACTTATAAATTGTTTTTTCTCTAAAATTAATTTTTACCCTACACTATCCCAACACGGAACCGAGTCCCTGTGATTTTGAGTTGTAAGTGTTTTAAAGTAATCCAGTCTTTTTAGTCTTTAACTCTTATTAAAAATTGAATGTTCTGAAATGTTCTCTATATCCTACAGCTTAAACTATACATTCTTGAAACATGATAGGATCATAAAACATTCTAGGGTGCTGCTATCAGTGATACTGTGACAAGCCATGTAATTATAATTAAATGCTCATCACTGGCCAGAGATAGCAAATTTTGGGGGAAAACTGGAAATCTTGGGTTTATGCGTAGGACTGTATTACGCATATGTGAATTTTTGTGAAATTTATGTTTTGTGTATATATTGACTGAATGTACATTTTATGAATATACTTATCCTTTTTGAATTGATCACGTTCTTCTGTTAAAAATTTCATGTTAGTATTTCATGCATTGTAAATGGCTATACACATGTATGTAAACACATATTATCCTAATAAACTATTTGTTATGTTATGTTATATGTATAAAATGTTTACAATTTAAAGTGAATTGGTCAACAATTGAAAAACTGTAATTAATACAATAAATAATTAATATATGAAGATTGTTTTCATCAATATAGTTTCAGTCTTGATTATCGTTTCTTAACCATTTAACGTTAAGCCAGGGGTATAAGCAACAAGATGCATGAATTCATTATTTGGCGTTTAAGGTCTTACAATAATTAAAGGACTATTGTACCACAATATTGATGCTTATGGTAACATAACTCAAACATATGTCGTGATGGCCTTTAAACGAAGACAATGACTGCGTACACGTGTATATTTATATTTTGAAAACCAGGTCAGCAACCTGTATTAATAGGTAACCATTTTTTGTTAATATCAAAATATTATATACAATAAATAACACATGGGTTTGTGGGTATCAGTAAAAATATCGTTCCGAGGAAAATACTGTTACCCGAGACTTCGCCAAGGGTAACAGAATTTTTACGAGGGATGAAATTTTTACTTTCACACACAAACCCATGTGCTATTTATTTAATTACCCCGATCAAATACTGTGATGATCTGAAATTGTCAACTAAATCTAACTGTAACAAAAATAAACCAATAGTAGCAATAACTAAACTGTTCTTACCTTGCAAGTTTTAAGTATACTAAAGGCCTACTTGAGAAGCTGTTTTTCTCTTATTTTCTAAGCAATTGATGATATCTACCAGTCATAAACATACAATAAGCTATGTTTTATTGTTGCATGGTTTTGACAAAGTGCATTTACAGAATAACGATGATATCCTACTGATGTCTGTCCACCATCTCTATCTGTAACGTTTCACTGGTTAAGGTAGACTCCACACTAAATTTCAAGTTTCTGCCGCCAATGTCCTACAAGCAATATGCTTCATAAATCTGATCCCAAACTGCACAACCTGGAAATTTATCTAATAACCAATTAGAAAAACTTTGTCCCTTTCAAAGTTATGAATCTAGAATTGATAAAAGCATCAACAAATGACTTTTCTCTTTTTCATTCCACAGATTTATCATATTGTGGTGACATTTGGGTTGGAGTATTTTAAACAGTTCAAAAACTTTATAAAGTGGACAGCTTATACAACCGCATTGCCTTTCCTGATCGACTTATCGGAGTGCGAGAATACCCCCTTTAGAGAGGTGAACATTAAACCTTTTGTCCGATAAATGACTCAAATTGATTTTTCCTGCTGATCAATCAAAATGTAAGGGATTTAAATATCAAAATTAAGATACGAACATTATAAAGACTGGCCAGACAACACGGTTACACCGATGTGTAATCTGACCTTACTCTACACAGGTGAAAAAGTTTATCACTTTTTGTGGCTTAAATATAACTGTGACATTTACATTGGTTTTTATTTTTTCATCATTGATAAGAATTGCACATATGTGTGAGTGATTGTGTTCGTGTGTACCCGCGTGTGTCCATATTAAAGCACGCTCACCACGTTTTTCTTTGTCTCTATTTACGATTAATTGGATTTTTTTCTAGAATTGGTATTTTTATGAAATTAATATTAAATATAGAAACATTACTTTGTATTTATATTTTAGACATGGCAATGGATTCTAGGCACAGTGGCTATTTTCATGGCATGGGTCGACCTGTTATCTTATGTAGAGAAATTTGACTTGCTTGGGATTTATGTTTCTATGCTGAAAAGAATCACAAAAACGTTTATACGTAAAATATTTCCAATCGTTCTTATTTTTCTGATAGCTTTTACTTTAGCGTTCCTGTGTGCCCGCAAAAAGCAGGTTGGTTTTTTTGTTTAATTTCATCATTATATAGATATGTTAATGAATTTCGAATTTTCTAGACAATAAGTTATAAATAACGTTTTGTTGCGAATTGTGATTCGCAGGTAAATTGAAATATATCAAAACAACGCAGAAAATATATAAAAATTATTTACACAACTGATGGCGATATTTTTCTTGTCCATCAAATTATTGATACAAATGTTAAGGATAGAATACTGTTTAAGTGATAGCGTGAGAGATATTCCCCTTTTCCCCTCATGAGTATACTCAATCCAGTCTCTAACTTTGATCTACTTTCATAAAACCGAATTTGAAAATACTTGTTTTGATATCCATCGCTTTTTAGAATCTGCCTCTTTGAAATTTACATTTACATATGTGTTAAACAGGGATACTCCGGGACTCGGCAAATTTTGTGGTGTTAATTTATTTTAACAGGATGAATTTAAAGATTTCTGGGTAGCGTTGCTGTCAATATCGGCAATGATGGCTGATGGTTTCGGATATGAGGACCACAGTGATTTTCACATTGTTGATACACACAAATATGTAGTTGTTATCAGCCATTTGATTTCCAGCATCTTTTTGATTATGATAGCTATCATATTAATGAATTTAATGGTAAATATTGGTTGACATGTGAATCATAACATGAAAATTTATATATATATAAAATCTGATCCCAAACTGCACAACCTGGAAATTTATCTAATAACCAATTAGAAAAACTTTGTCCCTTTCAAAGTTATGAATCTAGAATTGATAAAAGCATCAACAAATGACTTTTCTCTTTTTCATTCCACAGATTTATCATATTGTGGTGACATTTGGGTTGGAGTATTTTAAACAGTTTCAAAAACTTTATAAAGTGGACAGCTTATACAACCGCATTGCCTTTCCTGATCGACTTATCGGAGTGCGAGAATACCCCCTTTAGAGAGGTGAACATTAAACCTTTTGTCCGATAAAATGACTCAAATTGATTTTTCCTGCTGATCAATCAAAATGTAAGGGATTTAAATATTCAAAATTAAGATACGAACATTATAAAGACCCATACAACCACGGTTACACCGAGCAATCTGACTCACTCTTTACACAGGTGAAAAAGTTTTCTTTTTGTGGCTCTAAATTAACTGATTTAATTGGATTTTTTTCATCATTGAGAATTGCACATATGTGTAGTGATTGTTTCGTGTGTTACCCGCGTGCACCGCTCACCATTTTTCTTTGTCTCTAACGATTAATTTGGATTTTTTTCTAATATTTTTAGAAATTTAATATTAAATATAGAAACATTACTTTGTATTTATATTTTAGACATGGCAATGGATTCTAGGCACAGTGGCTATTTTCATGGCATGGGTCGACCTGTTATCTTATGTAGAGAAATTTGACTTGCTTGGGATTTATGTTTCTATGCTGAAAAGAATCACAAAAACGTTTATACGTAAAATATTTCCAATCGTTCTTATTTTTCTGATAGCTTTTACTTTAGCGTTCCTGTGTGCCCGCAAAAAGCAGGTTGGTTTTTTTGTTTAATTTCATCATTATATAGATATGTTAATGAATTTCGAATTTTCTAGACAATAAGTTATAAATAACGTTTTGTTGCGAATTGTGATTCGCAGGTAAATTGAAATATATCAAAACAACGCAGAAAATATATAAAAATTATTTACACAACTGATGGCGATATTTTTCTTGTCCATCAAATTATTGATACAAATGTTAAGGATAGAATACTGTTTAAGTGATAGCGTGAGAGATATTCCCCTTTTCCCCTCATGAGTATACTCAATCCAGTCTCTAACTTTGATCTACTTTCATAAAACCGAATTTGAAAATACTTGTTTTGATATCCATCGCTTTTTAGAATCTGCCTCTTTGAAATTTACATTTACATATGTGTTAAACAGGGATACTCCGGGACTCGGCAAATTTGTGGTGTTAATTTATTTTAACAGGATGAATTTAAAGATTTCTGGGTAGCGTTGCTGTCAATATCGGCAATGATGGCTGATGGTTTCGGATATGAGGACCACAGTGATTTTCACATTGTTGATACACACAAATATGTAGTTGTTATCAGCCATTTGATTTCCAGCATCTTTTTGATTATGATAGCTATCATATTAATGAATTTAATGGTAAATATTGGTTGACATGTGAATCATAACATGAAAATTTACTACTATTAAGTACCCGTATTTAAAGTCTTACTCATTATGCTTAGCAAAATCAAACAGTAATGTCCAAATGCTTCAACAAATGTTTATGATATGATAAGAAATATGTTCTACAATAAAAAATTTCTTGACCAACTATGATTTTAATGATAGGTTGGCGTAGCTGTAAGTGATGTTGAAGAAGTTTACATGCATGCAATCGAATCACACTCCACATTGCAGGTTTGTCTTTATTAAAAAATTAATGATGGCTCATACTCGCTTTAGAAAATGAATATTTAGTGCACGTTCAAAACTGAGTTCGTACTAAATCAAACTTGTTTGTTCATAATTTCTGAAAAAATACTGCGGTAAACTATCTGTTTAAGTTACACACTTGCAATTTAACATTTAGTATAATGAATTGTTTTTTTATATCAGACGGATGGAAGTAGAGACCTTGAATTCCCGACAAAAACTCAAAACATTCATATAAGCCTATCATTTTCAAATTTGCTGATTATATCAGTGTATTGTATTTGTTTACAGATTGAACACATTTTGGAATTGGAACGTATCTGCCAGGCTATTCTCAATATTTTGGTGAGATTTAGATGTACAAAGAAGTTTGGTGCACGGCTAAAGGTCAGATTCATCCAGCAGCCTAACAGAGAAGTATTAGCTGGACGATTAAAATCCGAAGAAGTTCCAAAACATGTATGTAACGTTAACATTTCTCAATACATGAAAAATCATATTTTATCTTTAAAATAACGTAATCAATTAAAGAAAGCGTTTGAAATGTTAATTAGGCTACTGAATTACTGTTATTTTTATTTCTAAGACCAAAAATGGTATCTTCTTACAGTTTCCCATATAACACATGTTAGACCTTTCTAAAGTATTAGAAAAATATTGATTTCTGTGGCATAATGATCCTTTAATCTATTTTAATTTTGTTTCATATACGCTAGATTCGTGATAAAGACCAGTGTGAAAATTTAGGACAGAAGCTGGATGAATTGATATCATTGAAAGAAGATATGTGTAATCTCATGCGACTGATGAAAGAAGAACACGAGCGTCTCCGAGAAATAGCAGTTAGATAGATATATCCAAACATATTAAAATAGATGACTTTAGTGGATTTGCTTAACCTAGAAAGAGCAGTGAACTGATGATTATATATGCTAGTTTGGCTGCTGAGTGTTTTGATTATGACAAATTTACCATATAAGAAAGAGTATGAAGATGTATATAATAATCATGTACATATCAAATGTTTGTATAAATGTTGCAAACTATAAGACAATACCTTAAAATGGCATCAAAAGTAAACGGTAGTATCTCAGTTTAATTAACTGATCATTGATTGAAGTGTCGGAGTATATGCTGACACCGAGGCCGAACAGGATCGAGAAAAGCAGAATGTCACAAAAGAAAAATTTTTGAGTTTTAAATTTGCCTTTTTATATTTAAAATTTTCATTCTTTAAACAGGTTTGATTAAAGGGTTTTCATTAAAAAGCTGAATGGTATCTTTGGCAAGCTACACATTTTCCCTAGCTATGTTTTTTTTATTTAAACATTTTTAAAAAAATTGATTTTCCCTTTTTTGTATTTAATTATAAACAACGGAAAAATAAGAAAATAATTTTTCGGGATGTTTTTCTTATTGGGAATTTATTTTTGTTCTTTAAAAAAAACATTTTCCTTTTTTTTTTTGGGAAAGTGTTGCCCGCGTTTTTTAAGAAAAATGCCCCCTTTGGGTTTTTAGATTTCTTTTTTAAAACATTTTATACCTTCTTTAAAATCAAAATTTCTTGGGATTCAAAAAAACATTTTTGGGAAAAAGTAGTTGGGCGAAAAACGGGAAAAAAGTTTACCCCCCACCGAATTTTACAAAAATATTCGGCGTAACAAAACAACCAAATGAACACATTCAGTTTACCAAGTCTTGTACCATAGTTCGTTCTTAACCTTATTGATCAACCGGCACTACTTGCACATAAGTTGATCTTAAATTCAATAATTTGGTTTAAAAATTGTTTTAAATTTTACACATTCCAAGGACCCCAATGTTGTACGCCGTAGTTTAGGGAATTTTTATTCAACAAAAGGGAAAGGCAGCATTCCCTTGAACGCAAAAATATTCTATTTCAAGGTTTGTTTTAATATACATTGGTTTAAATTTAAAATTTTTCTTAAGTACATAATTTCAACTTAGTTTAATTTTTCTCTTATTAAGAGAAATATTTTTTAATGTTTAAAGTATTTTCAAATTTTTGCTTTAGGGGTATTATCATAAAATGTATGTTTGTTCCTTTAATCTATTTACGCATATTGGTTGAATTTTATGTGAAAATTTAAAAAAAAAAAAAAAAAAAAAAAAAAAAAATTTTATGTAAAATGTGTATTATTGACTTTAATGTTACATTTTATGAATATACTTATCCTTTTTGAATTGATCACGTTCTTCTGTTAAAAATTTCATGTTAGTATTTCATGCATTGTAAATGGCTATACACATGTATGTAAAACACATATTATCCTAATAAACTATTTGTTATGTTATGTTTATGTGTATAAAATGTTTACAATTTAAAGTGAATTGGTCAACAATTGAAAAACTGTAATTAATACAATAAATAATTAATATATGAAGATTGTTTTCAGCAATATAGTTTCAGTCTTGATTATCGTTTCTTAACCATTTAACGTTAAGCCAGGGTATAAGCAACAAGATGCATGAATTCATTATTTGGCGTTTAAGGTCTTACAATAATTAAAGGACTATTGTACCACAATATTGATGCTTATGGTAACATAACTCAAACATATGTCGTGATGGCCTTTAAACGAAGACAATGACTGCGTACACGTGTATATTTATATTTTGAAAACCAGGTCAGCAACCTGTATTAATAGGTAACCATTTTTTGTTAATATCAAAATATTATATACAATAAATAACACTTGGGTTTGTGGGTAACAGTAAAAATATCGTTCCGAGGAAAATACTGTTACCCGAGACTTAGCCAAGGGTAACAGAATTTTTACGAGGGATGAAATTTTTACTTTCACACACAAACCCATGTGTTATTTATTGTATTACCCCGAACAAATACTATGATGATCTGAAATTGTCAATTAAATCTAACGGTCACAAAAATAAATCAAGATTAACAATAACTAAACTGTTCTTACCTTGCAAGTTTAAAGTATACTCCAGGCCTACTTAAGAAGCTGTTTTTCTCTTATTTTTTTAAGCAATTGATGATATCTACCAGTCATAAACATACAATAAGCTATGTTTTATTTAGAAAACAAAACACTACCCCATTTATAAGGTTATGTACTGGGAAATCTGATCCTTCGGTATCCAGAATATTCTTCGCATGGTGTTTGACAAAGTGCATTTACAGAATAACGATGATATCCTACTGATGTCTGTCCATCAACTCTTATCTGTAACGTTTCACTGGTTAAGGTAGACTCCACATTAAATTTTAAGTTTCTGCCGTCAATGTCCTACAAGCAATATGTCTTATAAATCTGATCCCAAACTACACAACTTGGAAAAAGAAAACACATTTTATTAAGAACATATATGCCATAATATTGCAAATCTATAAGGAATCATCCCATGTGAAACAGTCAGGAAGTTAAAAAAATTCCGTAAAAGCCAAAAGGCTTTAGTGGTCCGAGACCAAAACAACATATTTCGTCCCTCTGGCAAAACATACCTGCAAATATACGGGCTACAGAAACTTTGTCACTACTTTAGCAACTCCCTATTCATGCAAAATATCGCAAAGAAATAGGTGCTTGATTTTTGCTATTGCTGAAAGTTTGTATCCCCCTGTAAAATTACTTGTTTTCACCGAGCCTGCTGTTTAAAAACAATGTTTACAAAAATTGGCGACCTTGACATCTATAATCAACAGCATGTGATTTTAACCATGTTTTCGAATTTGCCAATGATCATAATAGATGTCACGAAAACAAATTTCATGCTGAAAATGCACTTTAAAGACAACCAGTCATTGAAATCCACAATAGTTACTATATCATGAAATCCTCCCTGGCCATTCGAAGCTGTGGCTTCAATTAGTGTGGTGTGCTGCCTTAACATTGCTAAATAATCCTTTGTTGCATGCTTTAATTGTCTGCATGTGATGTTCCAGTTTGACATTACAAATACTTCCATTGAAAACGGATGTTTACTTTTTGACTATTCAACAAAAATATATTTCATACGTGAAAAGAACTCAAGGGTGCAAAGAACTAATTTTTATGAGAGTCATAGTTTCTTTGGTGATGCCCTAGGCTCTTTCGTGCAGGTCAAAATCAAACTTGGTCATGGTTCAATGAATTTTGGCAGTTTTATGCCCCTATCACTTTGAAAATAATATGAAATTGAAGTTTCTGTTTATTAGGGATAATTTCAGTGCCTTGAACATTGTATGAAAATGGTTTGTGTTAACATTAAAAAGTTTTAAGAGCTTTAAACTTAAAATGAAAAGATAATTTGTGCAAACAAATTTGGAACAAAATATTATAACATCTGAAATTTTAGCTGCATGCGGGGGGCATCCGAAGCATGATGACACATTTATAGTTTTCATCAGATGCGGCAAATTCAAATGGTGCTTCAATAGTTTCATCAGCAATATAAGCAGAATTATCAAGATCACATTTTGAATTTGTTTGCCAGAATTTAATTTTACTACCAAAGTATGTTTTATTTGCTATAAAGAAAATATTTGAAACTTGAGTTTGCAATTTTTATTAAATTTTTTAATTTTGTTGTGATTTATGATTCCGAGGGATCACATTTTTTTAGAGATTTTGATCAATGTATTTGTATTTGTGTAATCGTATTGAATATAATTGTGCACAATATAATTATAATATAATTATGCTGTCATTGGCAATCCGAGGTTATTGATCACTACCAAAGAATAATAAAATTCTGGAAAAAGGGGCGATCCCCCGGAAACATTAAAACAACATTTATATACATGAAATAGTCTAATAGGCTTATTTGCTCGTTAAAGTGTTCTAAATTAGTTTTTACGAAATATCACTTACTTTGTTCAAATAATATGAAATTTTCAGTTGCCGTTCGTTATCTCCCCAACGGTACAGCACATTCAAATCAAACTTGACATATGGATACGTCAAATGAATGCGCAGGTCAGAATCAAATTTGGTCATGGTTCAATGATTTTTGGCAGAGTTAAGCCCCTTTCACTTTGAAAATAATATGAAATTTTCAGTTTCTGTTTATTATCTCCATAACGGTCAACACATTCAACTCAAATTTGACAAATGGATATGTTTTTGAAATGCACAGGCCAAGTTCGAATTTGGTCATGGTTCAATGAATTTTGGCAGAGTAATGCCCCTTTCACTTTGAAAATAATATGAAATTTACAGTTTCTGTTCATTATCTACCCAACAGTGTTACATATTCAACTCAAATTTGACATATGAATATGTCAAAGGAATGGGCGGGTCAAGTTGGAATTTTGTCATGTTTTGATGATTTCTTGGCAGAGTTATTTCCCTTTAACTTTGAAAATAATATAGATATATCGAAGGAATAAACAGTTTAAGTTTGAATTTGGTCGTGGTTCAATGATTTTGGACAAACTTATCTTTCCTGAATCTTGAAAAAATTTTGAACTTTCAGTTTCAGCACTCATACTTTTGTGGAAATCTAAGTAGCCATTATTTTGGCTACACGTATGTAATATGCTATTTTCAAAAGGTTAAGACTGAATAATTTCAGTGACTTGAACATTGTATGAAAAATGGTTTGTGTTAATATTGAAAAGTTTTAAGGGCTTTGAACTTAAAATTAAAAAATAATTTGTGCAAACAAATTTGGAACAAATTATTATAACATCTGAAATTTTAGCTGCATGCAGGGGCATCCGTAGCATGATGACACATTTCTAGTTTTCGTCAGAGGCGGCAAATTCAAATGCTTCTTCAACAGTTTCATCAGCAATGTAAGCAGAATTATCAAGATCACATTTTGAATTTGGTTGCCAGAATTTAATTTTATTACCAAAGTTTGTTTTATTTGCTATAAAGAAAATAATAGAAACTTGAGTTTGCAATTTTTATTAAATTTTTAATTTTGTTGTGATTTATGATTCCGAGGGATCACATTTTTTCGAGATTTTGATCAATGTATTTGTATTTGTGTAATCGTGTTGAATATTATAGTGCACAATATAATTATAGGCCCCTATTGGAAATTATGCTTTTTCTTGCTTTCATTGGCAATCCGAGGTTATTGATCACTACCAAAGAATAATAAAAATCTGGAAAAAGGGGCGATCCCCCGGAAACAGTGAAACAACATTTATATACATGAAATAGTCTAATAGGCTTATTTGCTCGTTAAAATGTTCTTTATTAGTTTTTAC